ACTGTGCGAGGACAGTTGGATAGAAAAAACGTGAAAACCAATCATTATTCGAGTAGCTCAGTGGACAGTGGGGCGGGCAACCGTTGGTGCTCCCAGATCGGCTGGCGCCCGCGGTCTTCAGGCTCTGTGCAAAGGAAAGAGGTAAGGTAGATTACCTTAATGTCGGCATTAATGCTAAAGTGATTGGATCCTCCCAAAAGTTAGTCCGGGCAGGACTAGCTTCATCCGGAAGCATTACTAGTTTCCCCAAATTTGTTAATAAAGTAAGATAGTTCCCATGGAAGCTGATGCTATTGGGAATGAGCGAAACTGCCTTGAATTCCTCCTCTTTCTGGGAAGCAGGAAAGGGAAATCGTCCTTCTAACAAACTACAAGAAAACATGTGAATTTCGATAAATACTCCTATTCGCACACGAATTTGGTTTTGACGGGAACCCATTTGAATCTCTTGTTCACTTCGAAGAGTTTTCAGTAGCAATACAAGTAGTATGTTGTGTTTAAAGCACGTTAAGTTTAGCTAGCAGGTGCAGTGGGCCTCCTGTTTTATTCCACTAGACCATACAGTGTCTTTCAACACCTTTATTGATCGGCCTTTCGTGGATTGACACACAGATGGTTTCCATCTTCAGCTTTCACCCAGTCTATTACATTTTCTCCACTATTGTGTTCCATTAACTCACTAAAGAACCATTGAAATACACAGATTAAAACGTCCTAACAGCAATCGCCCCGATCTTACTCATATCCATTTCTCTGGACATGCGGTTATATTTTCACTTGTTCAGTTTGCCCGTTCGGCATAGTAAGCGAGGGAATACTGTCCCACTTTGCCAGTGTGCACAGCAGTGAGTAGTGTGTACCGTAACCTTTTAACCTGCGTGTTTCTACTGATTGTTCACAAGAGAGCTGTGACCCAGCCAGTCTGCAGAAGAGGATTTGGATGCGGCAATGCCGAGTCGTGCTCACTTTAGTCCTGAATGTATTTGTCGTGGTGCAGGGTCAATATATGGCGAAGGGATTGATCGAATTCGTGGACATCAATGTGGACGGATATGAAGGATATGCAAGAGTAGGTAGGAATTTCTGACTGAAACATCCGAGTCTGTACCATTTTGATTAGTCCTTGAAAGACCATTAGAGCCCGAATCTCCTGAAGAGACAACTCTCCAGATTTGAGAACAAATCACTTTGGACGTAGCAGCTTTTCCGTAGCAGCTTTAAAGTCAAACAAAACTCTGGGGAAGGGATTCTACAGTATCACTACAGCGTGCAATCGTACACTTAGATTTTATCACCGTGATATAGGACTTCAGGTGAAATTCCCTTAAGCTGGAGGCACTGTACATCGTTGTGCCTTCGTACCTGGCCTGTGTGAGCGAAATTTGCATGTAGTTGATTAGTTTTTGTGCTGCGTGGACATCCACATAAGTGTTCAGTCGATGTATTCTGTTTCACAAAATTTGCACCATTTCTAATAAACCCCAGCTAGTATTGACATTCTAACAGGGTTGGACTAAACGTGTCGGTTTTAGATGGTCAGATGACCGGTGTGTGATTTTATCCCCTGCTTTCATTAAATCGGGGACCGGACGTTCTCACGATTCACTCGTCGAAGGTGTTGGTGTATGGTGTTTGTGATAAAATTCCACCCAATCTTTATCGACTTTTAGTTTTCTTGATCTAAAGGCCTAGAGAACCAGTTGAAGAAACGGGGTGTACCTGTTTGTACGTGTTTTCTTATCAGGTGATCACGCAGAATAAGGTCATCGTGTGATTATCGGAAAAACAAGTCCCAGCAGTATCCTTGATACAAATTTTGCTAATATCCTGATTCAGGCTATTCACCAAAACAAGGGATGTTCATCGCTCACTTCCAGTGGCACACGGTCATCATTCCTATCTTCGTGATCTACGTGCGCTAGTATTTGACCAGTCTCCTTGTATGACGTCAGTTTAACTAGCTCTCATAAGAGTGGTCTTTTGATAGCAATATATGGAATGTAAGCCAGCTCTTATTGACAGATTTAGTGTATTCGAAAACGTGGGGTTCAAGGTACACCTAGTTCCTGTCATGAAGACGAACCGTGACGAGACTTTGTACAGGATGTAACCGTGTTCATCCCTCTTCAATGACATTCCGTGTCGTCTAAGTAGCGAATAAACACTGCAGGCCGCCCAGGAGTGGCATTCTCAGATGGTGAGCTTGTGCGTAATACTGTGCTAGGCATCAGCGAAATAAAACGCTAGTTCAAAGCAACCAGTTTGATCAACTTTTATCCCCATCCTGTTCTACAACGTTTTTTGAGGTCCGTAGTTTCTGTCTAATTTTAGTTCGAATTTCTGCTTTTTCAGACGCAATAATTGTGAATGCTTTGACAGAATAACCGTGACTTGAACGATGCATGTCTTGCCAAAGTGTACATCTAGTATTTTTCAGCATATTCAAATAGGTTTTCCATTCTGATCTGAGGAACTTTTATGTAGTTATCCAGAAATACGTGGATGTGTATTTGATTGGGGTTTGAAAAAGACGTGGTGTCTGCTAACCGAGCAGAAGTTGTTGACATTTTTCACTAATCGAGCTTCTGTGCCTTGTGGACAAGTAGCAAAACTCGAACACCGGTGTATGAGGATATACACTAATTCCTCCATTGCCCTGAGACTTGTTGTGACCTCGTTGCGCGAGACAGCATGTACTATTTAGTCAAGAGCCTTGGGGAATACTCAAGGCGCGTCACTGACCTCATGCAGTCGCTCAGCCCTCAGATCATAATGCCGTTTCACGGCATGTCACGTGACGAGCATCTGCATTGGAGATCACATAGTAACAGGAAATAAAACCGTAACTATGTTCAAAATAACATCATCCAGCTGTAGTGTGGATCATGGAGACAGTTTCTAATAGCCCTTTAAACAGTCGTACAGATTGAATACTAATACCTGGAAAACCTGACTAGCCCCACTGCTGAATCAGACAGATGAGACTGAAGCGGACTACTCAAATATCTATCACTCAAACCTGAATTTCCACCTCTTATGTTGTTTTTTTACAACAAAAGCCGTTAAACCTGTTCAACTACCGTCCATCAGTGACCTCAGTAATCTCCCTCAAAATAAAATTATATGGATGTGGCCTAGTGAGATTTCTCTTGGAATTGATAACCTTATGACAGAATACCACACTGCTGTTGACAGAGACATCCCCATGTGTCACTTGGATGCCCACTTGCACACGCAATTTCGGCACTACGTGCGCATTTAGCCAGTCGCGTTGCAGCCAACCTTGTTACCAAGTTTCTGGGGTCATCAGAACACGATTTCCAGCAGCATGGCACTGATTTATTCGCCCATGTCTAAAAAACCTAAGTAAGAGCGACCTATCCGAATTGGTATCCTCTCGGAGAAAAACCTAACTAACTAACTAACTAATAACTACCTGACTAACCAGAAGAAATAACTCTCCAGATGTGATGTTCCAGAGTACTGGACTTATAGCCACCATTCGTATTGCCTTGTATGGACATCACAACTAAACTAAACCATCATCATGCTGGTGATTCGCCTTCCTCTAGAGATATGAGTTATGGGATATCTCATGCAACCAGCAACCGGTCGAACACGGCTACCTGAAGACTAATCCAGCACGTCAGATTGTTGTCGTAGGGGAAAGATGCACACAAAATTTCACACAATTGTAACTGCATGTTGAACATGAAAAACGGCTCCGCACGAGTGTTTGTAAAATAGTGACCTTTCGATTACAATACTCTACTTTTTTTCAAAGCTAGTCTTATTCATATGGTTTTAGGATGAAAGGACAGGATCACGGAATCACTCCACGAGTTTTAGTCTAATAGCGTTGTACTTCCTTGTATGATCGACGAAAGTGGTTCGCACCAGTAATGACTTCCATTCTACTTGGACCCAAAACAGTGTTCTCCACGAGTGATTCGTCTTCGACGGCCTAATTGTATGAAATTTTCTATATATTTTTGTTGTCCAAATGTTCTTATTACACACCATGTAACAGGGACCCTCTGTCACAGTTCATGGGACGATTTTTGGTGTTCCCAAATCGTCATCTGACCCGTGAACTTGACAGCTCGAAAAAATCGAGTAGGATGTGGCAGAGTCACATACCAAACTGCTGTGTCATTGAATTCATTCGGTTCACCGTTTTGAAGGCATTACTGTGTCTTTTCTCGTTTATCTACACCTCACATCTGGTGGGCATTTCACATCAGCTTGAGATTTCCGCCAGCTTATTTCCTTGTTCCTAGTTCTCCAGTGTGCTCGTACGACTTTCATTTATCTCTCTTTTTTCACTTCAATTCATTTTCTAGTCTTTGGACTAGAACATACTGTGGTTGACATTTATTCAGCTGCCTTTACTGTAGACTTTAGTCTGTCGAGCAGTCTTGAGTAACTCAATGACTGTTTTTCTTCCAGCCTTCAGTATATAAATATGTGCAGGGAGTTTTTTATTCTTCCCATAACACTGATGTAGTCTGTGTCGTGGTTTAACCACGCTTTTTTCAGTTATATGTTAGTAATAATAGATCAGACGTTTCCGGTGCAAAGCGTGGTATTTTGTATCGTGGAACTTATAGGGATAAAAGCTACCATGTCGCTGTGACCTATCTGCATTCGGCTGCCGACCTGGTCCGGTGATTGGGCGTGTAAAATCACGAGCAATTTTCATCCCCTTTTGTGACTTCCATGCTCGGTTGAAGGATAGAAATCCGGTCACACGGATGGTTCCGCCGCTCACAGCCCGCCAATCACGTGGCAGCGTAGTCATGATGATTGGTCACCCACACGCGGCTGCCCGCCGATTGGTCATGAGGGGACATGAACCATAGGTGTGATCTCAGCTCAGATGAGTTATATGGCCTTAGCTTCCGATCTAAGCGCCCTATCAGCCTTGTGTCCACGGCCCACTCAGTTATCATCCAGAACTTCGTACGGTGCACCTAGAGAGGAATCAGTAACGGCTCGTCATGTACCCGATACCTGGGGCCCATACTCCGCATTACCAACATACTCCAGATTATCAGCAGAATAGCGGGCCGTATCATGCTTTACTCGGGACATCAAGTCCAACCTGGCGAGACCGTTTGCCTATTACTCAGGATCCCATTGTTCAATACAGGGAACTGGACCTCCTCACTCGGCAAGGTGTATTACCAGCTGCATATAATGACGAAACTGCAAAGCTGCCTGTCTCCTCCAATCATGGTTCTCAGGACCAATCAGCAAGACGTCATGCGCCTCCATTACCTGCACGACTTATGACGATACCCGATTTGGATTGTGCATCACAACTAAGTTCCAATCATTCTCCCCCGAAAGGTAGTATGTGTTCGACCAGAAGTAACTTTTCGATTGCTTCGGATGGCGAAACAAACAGTTCAGACGCCTCTAAACCTCAGATCAAACGCGATGAGGATTCGGGGGAGCATGAGAGTGCTGAGGAGACAACAAGTGAAGAAGAGGGTGAAGAGGAGGCCGAATCAGAAGAAGTCCATCTTTGTCAGGTTGGTTTAGTACGAACAGTTGTGTTTATAGAAATCTGAGTGTTCCTCGAGGTTATTTCATCCAGTTTCTCAGCAGAAATATCTTACTGTTTCTGGCTTCGTGCAGACCGACATGTGCTTTTCTGTTAGCCGCCTTGAAATAGGCGTATGTGATAGATCTATTCTACAGTTCTAATCGGCAGTCTTCCAGTGGTGTTGGGACACCACACACTATTTAGAACGCTCTCTAGAACAACCTTTTCCTCCGATGCTCACCTTAGAACATGATTTGTGGTAAGTTTTTATCTTGTATGCAAAGAATTCCTAAAACGTCCAGTCGCCTACTAAGAGGATGTTGGCAGTATTAAAACCTTCTCATTGACTCTAGCAATAAAAACAATCCAAAGTTCAATATGCGACCACGACATGACACTTCCGTCAATTGTTCGCACTGCACAAGTGCTACTAGTGTGCAGTTTTCAAGGTTAAATGCGCACTGAAATTCCACTGAAAAGTAGAAACTAACCTGAGGAGCACAACACAGTTCGGAGAATGGTTGGATCTTGCATTCGTTCTATCCAGGAGGGTATGTGTAGAATGGCAGTAAGTTGGAAGGCAGCGTGTGATTTCTGCCTAGTTGTTCACACATTTGTTCCAGACATTGTTGGAAAGAGTTGTTTTGGATCAGAATAAGGTGAAAAAATCAAAATGGGGAAACAGTTTTATACAATGCTGTCAGAAATTCCTGGCAATATCATCGCAGTCAGATGAGCATCCGACAAGACTGTAGCAGACAGACCGTGCTAGCTAGGTCTGAGGCAGTCTGCTCTCTGCAACGCTATCGGTTTCGAATATCGCAAACTACG